GGGGGGGGGGGGGGGGGGGGGGGGGGGGGGGCAGCAACATAATACAATAGTGGTGAAGTACATAAGCCCTGGAGTCAAATTTGCCCACATTCAAACTCTGGCTCCATCATTTAATAGCTAAATAGCTCATAGCTTAAGAGAGAGTTACTTAATCTCTCTGTACCTCAGTTGCCCTCATCTACAATATTTAAACAGTAACAGTCATTTCATAGGACTGTTGTGGCAAATAAATGAGCTAATTTGTATAAAACACCAAAATTGTTTCTATCATATACAAAATGCTCAATAAATATTAGTTATTATTACTACTGCTCAGGTGGTGACTCCTGGGGTAACATATTATTGAACTTCATAATGATGACAAAAGGCATTTCATTCAGAAGTAACCAGATGCCAGACACTCTTCTAAGCACTTTATATGTAATACATGCACAAACAGTGTAGGGGATAGGTTTAGCTCAATTACTCTGTGCATTTTACAGTGGAAATAAGGCAGGTTTTAGTAAGTTGTCTAAGGTCATACAGAAACTCTAAGGAAAAGAAGTGACTTCTAGTCTGATCTCAGAGCACAGTTCTTTTTTTTTTTTTTTTTTGTTTTTTGTCTTTTTTCCGTGTCCGGCAACGGATCGCAACCCTCAGTGTTGCCCCCGTACTGGACCGGGGACCGGCAACGGGATCGCAAGCCTCGGTGTTGCTCCCGCGCCTCGCTCAGCCAGTGAGCGGGAGCCGGTCTGTATGTGGGATCCGAACCCTCGGCGGGAGCGCCGCCGCGCTCCCAAGCGGCACACTGTAGCAGTGCGCCACCGGGCCGGCCCAGAGCACAGTTCTTTTTTTTTTTTTTTTTGTCTTTTGTCTTTTTTCCGTGTCCGGCAACGGATCGCAACCCTCAGTGTTGCCCCCGTACTGGACCGGGGACCGGCAACGGGATCGCAAGCCTCGGTGTTGCTCCCGCGCCTCGCTCAGCCAGTGAGCGGGAGCCGGTCTGTATGTGGGATCCGAACCCTCGGCGGGAGCGCCGCCGCGCTCCCAAGCGGCACACTGTAGCAGTGCGCCACCGGGCCGGCCCTAAATAAATAAAATTTTAAAATAATTTTTTTTTTTTTTTGTCTTTTGTCTTTTTTCCGTGTCCGGCAACGGATCGCAACCCTCAGTGTTGCCCCCGTACTGGACCGGGGACCGGCAACGGGATCGCAAGCCTCGGTGTTGCTCCCGCGCCTCGCTCAGCCAGTGAGCGGGAGCCGGTCTGTATGTGGGATCCGAACCCTCGGACGGGAGCGCCGCCGCGCTTCCCAAGCGGCGCACTATCCAGTGCGCCATCGGGCCGGCCCAGAGCACAGTTCTTAATCACACCTTATTACCTTCAACAAATCAATTTAGCACAAAAGATAAACTTTAGACGAAATACTTTCCCTTTATTACAAATGTCCTATGATATTTGAAACTGTATCTATGTCATCCCTTAAGAATATAAATCCTGGTCAGGGCTAGCTAGTTCGTTTTATGGAGAGAGGATGAAATATTATCTAAGAATGATATCTAATCACTTTTACGGTAAATGGCAATTAAAATAATCAAATGTATCAGAAGTTTTAATTCTATGAGGCTAGTCTTATTAAACAGAAATTCCTGTTCTGGGGGATACTATCATTTAATTCTTGATTAATGGACTTCATAAAATATATGTTTCAATCAAAGCTATTTTCAAAGCAATGTTGTGGACCAGTAGTTTCATGGATACTTAATAAATACTTAATTGATTCCTAAGTTTTTTCAACTTTCCTTCTTGCAAAGAACAATTTCATCTATCAACTAAATCTGAATGAAGGAAAAATACAAGGCTGGAAAAGAGCAGAACAGCCTTAGGCTATGTCCACAGATTGTCAGATCACCTAATAAATTGAATTTAAAAAAAATCATGCTTCCATATCCAAATCAGCTTTATAACATCATCTACTGAAAAACTTTATGTTTTTTTAAAAAAAACTTTTTTTAAATTTATGCTAGGCATAAATATCAACCTTAACTTAATGGTTAATTTAGATGACAAATTCTGGAATAAAATGATCAGAGCTTGAATTCTGACTCCACTTTCTACCTCTGTGTCCTTGAGTAAGTTACTTGATCTCTCCAAAGGTCAGTATCCACTCCATAGGATGAGGACAATTAAATGAGATAAAGCATATAAGGTTATTAGCACAGTCATGGGGTACAGTCAGCACTTGATAAATGGTAGCTTCTGTATAATATATAAATAAAACATTTAATGCATGCATTAAAATATTTTCAGAGATGAACAAATGGGAGCTCAGAGAGGTTGAATAATTTTCCCAAGTTCATACAACTAGTAAACAGCACATACAGGATGCAAATCCTGATCTGACCTATATTAAAATCTGTGCTGCTTCTGGCAACTTTATGGCCTTTAAAGCAAAGAAGCCTTTTTAGGGCATTAAAAATGTAAACAGTATAAAAAGACCTGAAATCCCTCTTGAATTAAGACCTTACAGGTCCATTCAGGTTCTGAGAAAAATCAAGATGGGTCCTCTACAGTAGATAAGTGTCTCACTGTAAGGTTCTATAAAAACTAAAGGAGTTAATTCATTTACTACCCCATAGTAAATACTCAATAAACATCAGCTATTATTATCAGCTATATACTACTATAATAAACATGAATTCCAGTAAAAGTTCAGTGAAATATAAATACACAATACATGTATTAAATAAATGCATAATAAAGAGGACCATCATAAAATTATTTAGTTCTTTTTATTAGATATCTTTTCAACTTGGCAAATAAAAAAATAATAAAAATGAGACAAATAGCTATATTAACAACATGTTTTATATACTACAGTTTTCTGTATCTCTGTTTGATGATGGGCTTATCTATACAGAACCAAAATTACCTATATAAATATAATAGTTAATCATCAAACCTTACCTGAATAGAATACATTATAATTTTAAAGCAGTGAACTGCAAATTCATTGGGATCCCACAGTTTGTGATGATCTAAATGCCTGTGAATAACAATTAAAAATTACTTTGAGAATTCCCTATTTTTATTACATTTCTTCCTCTAAAACCCTCAACATTACAAAATGTTTAAGTCAGAACATTATCTTAAAAAAAAAAACAGGTTTCCATTTCCAGAAATACATGATATGTATTTCCAATGGCCAAACCCTGTCATAAAACAACAAACAATAAATGCTAGACTCTGTATAAAACTTCAAAATACCTAGATGAAGTGGCAAGAAAGAAAAGTCCCTCTGCCCAAACTGCACAAGAAAGCAAGCACCTGGAAAAGTGAGTGTGCACAAAGGCCGGCAGCTGTCCCAGGAATATCTTCAGCTCCCCAGGGCCCAGAGCCAGTGGTTTAAAGGGTTGTATACTGCAGACAAGGCTTAGGGCCCACCCAAAAAAGGTAGGCTAGCAGGTTAGAAATCCCTGTACCAATTCAAGACCCCTAAAAGATAACACCCTCAATGAATGAATCAGGGGGAACCTTCTATAGTAGAAGTCTGTCAAGAAGCTTGCCAGTCCTGTCCTTGGCTCTGATGGAAACTATGAATAACAAAAGTCTTTCTGAAGATTTCAACCACACACCCAGTAAGTACCCAGGCCAGGAATATGGGAGGTAAGAAGCCAAAGGCAATAACTCAATACTATTTTTCTAAAAATTTAGTAAGTAATATGGGGAAAGGGAGAGGAAAAGAATTTCCAAACAAATATTATTTCTCAGCAAAATAGAAGCCTCATCTTCTCAGACCATTTATTCTCAAATCATGCTCTTCATACAATGTGCATCAAAATCACCTTGGAATTTGGTTAAAATAAACAAGAAGAAGAAGACAGATTTCTGGGTTCTCTATTGTACCTCAGCCTCCAAGATCTATGGGTTTGGGGGCCTAAGATCTTACACATAAATATCCAGGGACTAATAGCATACTAACTTCTGAGAACCACTGTGCTAGGTTCATATACACAATTTAATATTCATAATATTTTTCCAAAGAAAGTAGAAAGTTTCACATTGAGGGGGTCACTAATGTAGAACAAGAAAGAAAAAGTAGAGATACAAACTCAACCAGCTGAGATGTTCAAAAGTTAAAAAAAATTCAATTTAAGCACTTCTAAAACAAGAACTGATCACAATATATAGTTTGAACAAAAAATGTTTTAATTCCACAATGTGGATACTAGTGGGAAGATCTATCAACTCAGTAAGACCAAGGAGTTAAATGAGGTATAAAATTTTCACCTTATTATTCCTTTGTCTGGAACAACAATTTCACTCAGACTTTTTTTTTTTTTTTTTGTCCTTTTTGAGACCAGCCACACCGCACTCAGCCAGTGAATGCACCGGCCATCCCTATATAGGATCCGAACCAGCGGCGGGAGTGCTGCACTCTCCCAAGTGCACCACGGGCTCGGCCCTCACTCAGACTTTTGAAAGAAAAAAAAAAACTTATTTTTATATCTACAAAAGTCATGGAGATACTCCATGTTAAAAAAAATAAACATGATTTGCAAAACGCAAAACAGGAAGATTACTAATAGATGGTTTTTAAAAAGAGAATAGAAAGAAAAAGTAAAAATATTTTACATAGGCAATATATTATGATAATAACATTTACCTTCAAATCAATATTTTTCTCTTTCAATGTTTAACTTTATAATATACGAAAAAATATGCAATAAGACAGTATTGATGTACTATTACAATTATATACAAAGTAATTTTTTCCTTTTAGTTAAACTAAAAATGGTAACTGTAGCATGCCCTTAAGAAATCAGTACCTCATGAAAGTCTTCTGGTGTTAGTAAGGACTAGTTTCAAAACAAAAGTACTTCTAGTTAATGAATGAATATAGAAAATTACTCTTACAACAGGAAAAAAAATTGCTATGGATATTTTATTTGCAAAGAATGCTTTAGTTTAACATTTAGGTAGGTTTTCTATTTCAACTGTTACTTGATTTAGTAAATAAAATAAATGATTTTATAGAAATCTTGAATATCACATTTTTATAAATAGTGAGCATAGGATACATTTTTCAGTATCTAAGAATACTATGCAAAGAAGTAATAATCTAGCTTATAACTATACTATTCCCAAAAGAAGGAGGTTAGAGAAATCTGTAGGCTGAAACTAAAGGGAGAATTCTGTGTAAAAGAATAAAAAACCTCCCGAAGTAAGTTGGTTAGCGTTAAAAGAGGTTGTAAACTTCCCTGAAATTAAAATGAACCACTACTCTTCTAGAAAGTTCAAAACCCATTCTGCTAAGAGGCAGAGAACTACACTTTATATGCCTCTTCAGGCTCGCTACCAATGGCTCATAGTTCTCACCTGTTCTTGTTAAGAATTTTATTAGAGTAACCTCCTAACATTCTGATCCTGTTTCAAATCCATCCCATACAGCTCTCTCTGATTAACTTTCTCAAAGGGCAATTCTGGCCATTTCAAACCTTTGAGCTAAGATTGCCAATAACTAGCAACAGACTTAAATACAAAATTTTAAGATCTCTACAGCGTAGCCTAAACTTTCTCTTATATCACACTGTAACCCCTTAACTGTATCTAACACTCCTGGCAATGGTATCAGTATCTTCTGCATTCTTTACAAACAAAATAAAATTTCAAGGGCAGTTTATGATACTTACCTACATCTACCTCAAAAGATACCGCCCTCTAAATTCTCAAAATAGACATGAGTTCTTTGTTTTGAACTGCTGGAGCTCTTTTGGTCCTTTCTCAGAATCCATTACTATTATCGTGCATGTCAATGTGATTCATATATATAGTCCCCCAAATACCTGGTACCTTACTGCAGAGGACATTATATTTAATGAACTAATTAAATATCCAATATATAATTACATATTTAATTAACATTTAATTTAATTAACACATGATTAAGACTTAAGTTCATTAAATTCTATGCCCACTTCAAGTTACTCAACTCAAGTGTAGTTAATTTGGTAACTTCTTTCTTCCAGGCTAGCTCTCTAGATTTTTAAGGCCTTACAGATTACCACTTGGTTAATAAGAGTATTAAGATAAAAACTGAAATTCTGATATTAAATTAGCATGTCTAGACATTTAAACATAAACCTGCCTTTAGTATATTTGACATAATTCTGATTACTTTTTAGTAGCATTTCCATAAGCCCACACAGTCTTTAAACAATACATCTCAATTTCAGGGTTGCCAGGATAATCACAGATCCCCTTGAAAATCTAATGATTCTCTAATTTTTGATACAGTTTTGTGGTTTGTAGATTCTTATAACTAAAGCTCAACTTTGAACCTTAAGCTAAGAACATCTACCCTAAATAAAGAATACTGGAAGTTACATTTAGAATATAGTAGTCTCTCCTTACCCATGGTTTCACTTTCCACGGTTTCAGTTACCTGCAGTCAACTGTGGTCTGAAAATAGGTTAGTATACCACAAGAAGACATTTTGACAGAAAGAGAAACCACATTCATATAAATTTTATTACAGTATATTGTTATAACTGTTCCATTTTACTGTTAGGGTTTTTTTTTTGCAGCTGGCCAGTATAGGGATCCAAACTCCTGATCTTGGTGTTATAAGGCTGCACTCCACCAACTGGGCAACTGGCCAGCCTAGTTATTGTTGTTAATCTCTTACTATACCTAATTTATAAATTAAACTTTATCATAGGTATGTATATATAGGGAAAACTATAGGGTTAAGTATTATCCACGGTTTCAGGCATCCTCTGGGGGCCTTTAAACACATCCCCCATGGATAAGGGGGGAATGTGTTTCACTGTAGTTATATATGCCATAAAGCCACTATTACTGTCAGAAGGGAAAAAGGACAAGGTGAATTTTAACAACAGAAAGACTGCCGAAAATGTCCAGAAACTACAGAATAGTATACAGTAGATATATCACCTCATGACTGAGTTAGAAACATACAGGCTTGACAAGGCTTGAGAGAGAATGTCTATGTGGAGAAACTCAAAGCTCATAAATGTGAGGAGAATATTTAAAGTAACGATGAGATATTTAATTATCTTGCTTTGATTAGTCACTAGGTAAAAGATGAAATTTACAGAGAAGTGACTATGATCTAAGATGGCCCAGCCATGGCCAAAAGAAAGCCAAGAAACAGAAGCCAGGGAAGAGGAGAAACTGACCACAGAAGTTAGTAACAACATACAGTGTACTTGGACACTGACTATTTCACTGCACCCATGCATTTCAAGGTCTGTAAATTAAATGATGCACGTGATATTAAGCGCATTATTATACTTCACAATTAAAGGGAAAACACTAGTTAAGTAGTTAAACCAGAGTTCAAAGTATGTCTGACCACAATGCTACACCAGTACTATTTCACTGCACCCATGCATTTCAAGGTCTGTAAATTAAATGATGCACGTGATATTAAGTGCATTATTATACTTCACAATTAAAGGGAAAACACTAGTTAAGTAGTTAAACCAGAGTTCAAAGTATGTCTGACCACAATGCTACACCAGTTCTATTAATAACTCTCCCACCCAAGTAAAAGAGTGTTTGTCCTCTGTAAGTAAATGAACGCAGAATTCATATAGCAAAGTCACAAATAACCAGGAAAACACCAACTCCTTACGCAAAAACTGGTCTGACAGCATTATTCATATTCCCGAAAGTTGCCCGACCGAGCAGTTCCCTGAAACAGTTCTCAGCCAGCACAGCAGGGTTCTCTTCTTTGTCAGCTGCAGGAGAAGGAGGTGGGCCGATTCGACTAAAAAACAAAGAGAAATGATGAAACACTAATGTAAGAATTCTGACATTAGTTCTAACAGTTAAACTGAACAGACTTTACTTCTCAGAAATGTTAAAATGACATTTTCTTTTTAAGCCAAATAACTTTAAAGCTTAATCCTAACTGCAAGGATTCAACAGCATCAAAGCTAATCATACAGTCTTTCAGACAGAACTAAATTCAGCTGTGTGACTTGTTTCTAGCAGAACGTCCTCTACATAAATAATACTCAGCAGCGTGCTGTTTGTTCACTTTCATAGGACTTCTCTGCATTTACAGCAGAATCTCAGTAAGAGCACAGTGCCCAGAGACCATCTTTAGGTATCCCCAGTTTGACTGTAAGTGGGTAAAATTAAAATGAAGTGGAAAACTATGACATGGCCTGAGTACAAAAAATCAATTTTAAACGCTAATTAGAATACCTGTATATGAAAATGTCTTCAGTAGACCGTATTTGTTTTGCTCACGTCTTAAAACATTATTTTAAGCTAATGTATTCATGTGCAATAATAATAAAAAGTATCTGTGGCACTGGGATTATGTCATGAGAAAATAAAATTTCTTAAGATTTAGGTTGTCTGGTTAGCTCAGTCGGTTACAGTGTGGTGCTGATAACACCAAAGTCCAAGGTTTGATTCCTGTAACAGCTAGCCAGCAGGAAAAAAAAAGAAAAGGCAACAAACGGTCTCTGTTTCCTGTACCGTACCTATGCTAACCTTAGACCTCAAGAGCCATAATAATAGGAAATAGATTCCCAACTAGCCAGTGACCTTTTAAATTGCAAATATTTTAGATAGAAAAACATTAGACTCAGATACAGTGCCAAGAATAGGAAAAATACGTAAGGTGCTAAAATATACTAAATTACACACCTTAGGAAAAGTCTACAAAGCTGGAGACAGTCACATCTAAGGAATTAAGCATAAATTCTTTCTGTAATTAACATAAATTTAAGTGATCATATTAGTGCTACTAGAGTTATCAATTACATCTAATTTCTAGACTACTTATTTTGATATTGCAAATATAACCATGAAAAGTATAAATGAAACAGATTTTAGAACTACAGAACTGAATCTCTTAAATTTGATTCAGATTTTCCTCTTCAAACTGCAAGAATGAGGAAGGTCAGAATAATAAGACAAATTGGAGAAGCCTGCTTCAGCAGCTTAATCACACATTATCTCTATGTACGGCAACAGCAGCATGGAGGAAAAACATGCTTCTGGCATTTGAAAAAGTGGACTAAAGTACAGAATTCTAAGTGCAACTGGATGTTGTGGGAGGAAAAAAGAAAAGCAGCATGTATCCAGAAACAATATTCCACTCCATGCTATCTTAGAAGAATGAATCAGAAATGAACAGTGTCTAACCTTTTCACTGAAAAAATAGAGTGAATAGCAATTACTATTATTATTTGTTTGGACAGTTCTTAACTCTCTAGAAAAAAGCATGCTGGATCTCTAAAGACTAACAGAATTTCAGCTATAATTTCTATTTCTCTCACTTGCAACCGTAATAGCATTTATTAAAATAGCAATTTGGATGTTCAATAATAAGCGGCAAGTAAAGTGTAAATCTATTCTAAAAGAAAATAAAGGCTTAGGTGTATGAATAAGAATCTGCGGTCTATTAAGCCTAATGTGATCACTACAGACTAATAATTTTTCCAGGAGGGTATATATTTTTAAATTTACTTAATTTTATGAGACTACTATCTGCATAATATGAAGGGCAAAACTTTCTTATTCTACCAAGCACACATGGAAAAGTAAGAGAGCATCAACCCTAACATCTTTATTCAATACCTGTCAACTTCTTCTATCTTCTGCATGTTAAACAGGAGGGATGGAACAATCTTATCCATATGCTGAGGTTCCCAAATGGTAGCCCGAAGTTCATCATTAACTGTTTTGCGAACCACACCTTGAATACCCCTGATTCCAGCAATTCGGATTCTACAAAAGAAAAAATGAGCCATGAAAAAAGTTATTTAAACGAGTCTATTTACCTAGCTAAGAGAATGAATGTCAAGTAAATACTGTTACCTTAACAATAAAATATCATAAAATAACACACAAGTCTAAGAAATTAAAATCTCAAAAATCTAAGATGGACACTGAGATATATCCAAAAGACACTACCGTTGAATATCATCTTTTAGAAATCAGCATTTGAAGTTTAAAAGAACTGTACAATACAGAAATATCTTGTCCATGTATTATTTTTCAGTTAAAAAAATAATAAGCATAGGTTTTCATAAAATGATAACTCAAACTAATATAAGCTAGATTCTCCCATTTCTTGCCTAGAGAATGAGAAGAAAAGTGACTTTAAAAAGCCTGTAAAAGCTGTGGAAGAACAAAGTCTCGTGCAGAGCTAACTTGGAGATCCATTTGTCTCAAGACATCTTTCTTCTGGACAAATATAATTGTTATTTATTCCCTGTTTTCTACTATCTGAAATACTTACCAGTTAGAGATTTATTCAGTTTACCTAGCATTTTCTTGCAACAACTGCAAATAGGTTTAAAGAATGAAAGATATGGGGAAGAAGGTGATATTGTTTTACAAACCAATGGGGAAGTAATGTAGGCATTCAGAAGGAGCAGACAGAGAGTGGGAGGTGGCGGTAATATGACACTGAACAGGTGAAAAAAGTGAATTGGAAGACATAAAGACAAATTTTGCCTACTTCGAAGCTGTACTAGGAAGTCTTAGGAAACTCTTGTATGGTTATCACACAGAGGCAAGCCTACTACTACTACAATGTCTGCTTTACCCACCTGCTGCCACTCCTTGGGTGGCAAGAGGGCTGAGCACAAAGTAGCACAGAAATCATGAACAAACAAGATGACATACAGAGGGTAGCTTGTGTTGTCACCTAAACAGAGCAGCAGCAGATGGTGCTGCCCTTGGCCTTGTGATGGAGGGGATGTTGGTAGTGACCACCAATCACTTCACAGCTACACAGCTGGCATCCGATCCAGATCTAATATCTGGCCTAACCAGCATATTCTAGCCATGACTCCCAGAGGAATTGCAGTTTCCTCACCAGTAAGAAAGAACAATTGTCATACCTACAGCACAGAAATGTTGTAAAGATTTAATTGAGTCAATTCACTGACGTTAATTCATGAGTTAATTCACTTTACATGAATTAACTTAAACAATAATTGGCACACAGTAAGCACTCAGTAAGCGTTAGCTGCTCCTGCTGCTGTTGTTAGTCACTATGATGATGAGGAGAAAGAGGATGATTTCCACCACAGCTGAAGGTTCTTCAGGAAATTAGAGTCAGAGCTTAAGATTGCAATGTATGACTTTACAAGTGGAAACCATTTCTGCAAGGCAAACATTTTAAGAAAATCTTAAAAATTACCGGCCCCATCTACTACTGCCCACATGCCCTTGAGTTCTATTTGATACGATTTTGCTAAAAATAAGGGCACTGATAATAGGTATCTAAGTTAGAACCTAAAAGGGATTATAAATACACCTGAAGAAAACCAAAATGTCTTTTATTTTAAAAGGCTAAGCTGAAAAAAAAAAAACAAACCCCTTAACTATCTTAAAGCATTTTAATTTACTCATTTGTTTTATAGTGATTCAAATGAAATGTTGGCATTTTGGAACTTAGAATAATATGTAATATTGGAAAGACCTCGAATTAGGAAAAAGTACTAAGTCCTTTCATTTGTGTATAGAAAATTTCAAGAGATGTGATAATTAAAAATGTTATGTGAAAATATGTTCAAAAGACAAGAAAACATGTTCAAAATATGTTTCACTAGGGGGCGATAAATACCTAAAAATATGATACCTATGTTACAAATTTTTAAATTTCTTAAATGCATCCTTTCATAAATATTATGGATATCAGAAATACTTTTCTCCTACATTGGTTTATATGCAAAATTCATCATAAGCAAAATATGAGAAGTGTGGTTTATTAGTCCTTATAATACTAAAGAAAAGCATACTACATTCTGGATACTTTATGTATTTTAAAGAAAGTTAAAATGTTAAAATCTTGGGAAAAATTGCCATTTTATTTAGCTAATCTTTATATCTTTTTGCCCCATTAACACTTAATGTCAGCCTTTGAAAAGAGGGAACAATTTTATAAAACATTTTTTAAATGTCCTTTATGGACAAATAAAAAAAAAAAAAAAGAATTTTAATGGTGAGTGGACAAACAGGAAATTCATCATTATAAGGTAATTACAGTACCTCTACATCTAAGACTTTACACTTCGTAGTAAAGGAATAATAAACAGTAGGGATTCTAAATGGCTTATAAGATACTGAGGAAAAATACTAACATCACAGACAGAAACAAATCTCTTATCTGAAAACTATTAAATTACCTCACAGCTTTCTTTCTCCAAGTTAAAATAACTTTTACACTTGTTTTCATTTGTGTAAACCAAGACTGTAGCTTGTACACTCCAACTAAAAGCTATATTTCTGCACATTCCCTTATTCAGAAAAAAAAAAAAAGTAAAAATTACAAGACTTATTAAATTTTGAATATCAAACTGCCCACAATGACTCTGTAATGCTCAAACTACTTTCTATGTTTACCAAGGTCTTTTTGACTTTAATTCTTAACCTTAAAGTTTCCCATTTCTATACAGATATCAATCCACAGACTGTGTTTGCAAACAAGTATTTGATGCCAGATTTTTACTAGGATATATCTAGAAGAAATATGTAAAAATGTCCAAATCAGTTGTCATCACAATTTCAGACTGACAATGATTCAGTAGCATACATACACTTACACAATTTATTCATGCAAAAAGTACTTACTGAGAGCTACTATGTGCTGGGCACCGTTCAAAGTGCTAGTGATATAGTAGTCCTCCCAACAGAGGAGAAATAAATATGATAAAAAGATAAAGAATAACTTGAGGTAGGATGGGAGGGTCGATATTTAACAAATAAAGAGTGGCAAGAGTAGGAGTCTCATGATAGGTGACATTTGAGCAGAAATGAGGAAACAAGCCATGTGAGCATATGCAGAATCATTCCAGGCAGAGAAACAAATGTGTCCAAAGGTCCTGAAGAGAAGTGAGCCTGAAGTGTTCAACAAACAGCAAGAAGACCCACATGGCTGGATTAGAGCGAAAACAGGAGAAAATAACAAAATGACAGACTCTGAGGCAGGCAGGGGAAGCATGAGGAGACACTGTGGACACTGTGTAAAGGCTTTGGATTTTAGTGAGTTGGGCCACTCTCGATTTACCACTTCAGTCAGTCGTTACAACTTCTAACAGCAATGGAAAACCATATTCTCCTTTCCTTTGGTAATCATTATGTGATACATGAATGTGGTATTCATCAACAAATAACTCTGCAAATTACTTACTACAAATCATAAAGTAAAACAATACATACTCCGTTCGTATTTCTGGATCACTATGACAGGAATGACACATGGCACTGAATCGAGATACAAAAAAGTCATAACGTCTGTGATAGGATGGTGTATCTTCTTCGATATTTGCAAATTTAACAAACTGTAAAACAAAAATAACAATACGAACAATATATACCACATTTCTGAAAGTACGGAAAAAAACATATTTACTCATACATTATTTGTTACATTAACAAGCAACATCAAAATAATAAATGAAAAAGATGAAATATCAAATACCACATATATGTATATAAAAGAAATTTTTTAATAATGAACTTTCAAAAAACCAAGAATGTAGCATACTAAATATAAGTATATGATGCAGTTCCTTTTGACTGAGCGAGCCCACTCTCTAGGAGAGGTCTTGCTCTAAGCTCTTCTACAGTTCCTGGATGCTGATGTTTCAGGGATGACCTTAGTTAGGGCTGCAACCTCCAGGGAATATTACTTTTTAATCATGGGTAGAAAATCTCCCTTGACAGCTGTTAACACACAAATGAATACAATTTATACAAAAATAATGGAACAAAAAAGGGAACACAAACTAAAAGAAACATGACAAACTCAGTAGAAAAAAAAATAATGAGATGGTAAAAATTTATTCTACCTCCTTTCTAAAAAAATATGTATATATATATGTATATCCCCTTATGTCTAGAAAATTTTAAATATCCTCCATGCATCACCAACTAGACTAGACTCCTAAGTTTCTTTTATATACACTCTTTTTTCATTAGCTTTCTCATTCACTCGGTCACGCATTACTTCTGTATGCTAAATAGCATAAAGCAACAAACTGTTAATTACTTGGAAATTTAAATACACATACACACCTCTGCCAGGACATAGACTAATGGCTTTAAAAGGCTATATCCAAAAAATTAGTCAACCAGAATGTCAGAATAATCTGAATTACTAATCTCTGTTGGAAACAAAACTGAAATAAGGATAGAATGGATTTGAAAAAATAAAATTATGATGCTAAAGATTTTTAATTAATTCAGCTAGAGCTAAACCATCTGTTTCAAATTATAATTTTATATGATTTATATAACTTTCAAAGGATGACACATAGTAATTTAGTTCAGACTGAACTGATATCCACGACCTATTCTGTTCCATACACTGTGCTAGGTGTTTTCACACGAGTTCTTAATTTACTCACTCCAACCCTGTATAGAATGTATCATTATCCCCATTTTACAGATGGAAACAGCAAAGTTCAGAGGTTAAGTCATTTGTCCAAAATGACTCAGTTTGACTCCAATTCTCAAGATTCCCATACTACACACTAGCCATATAAATAGTTACAGAAAGCATTAAACCAAATATTTATACTTTTCATAAAAATAAGCCTTTTATTAAAAGACATGAGGAAATGCTTAAAACTTTAAATTAAAAAAAAATACACAAAGGTCTATATACAATACGTTCCCCATTTTCTAATATTTATATATTAGAAATGTATATATTTATACATATATTTATATATTTATATAATGTACAAAGAAATGAAAGTAGTAAAGGATTACTTCTGAATTTTGGAATTACAGGTGACTTTTTATTCTTTTATTTTTTAGCATTTTCCAAATTTGCTGCAATAAACATATTACTTTTAATATTAGAACAAAATAATCAATTAGTACAGTCTATGGAAAACAGTATGGAGGTTTGTCAAACAACTACAGACAGAACTACCATATGATCCATATATAACCAAAGGAATGGAAATCATCATGTAGAAGGGAAACCTGCACTCTCATGTTTATCACAGCTCTATTTACAACAACCAAGAGTTGGAACCAACCTAAATGTCCATCAACAGATGACTGGATAAAGAAAATGTGACATATATACACAATGGAATACTACCCTGCCCATAAAATAGAATGAAATTCTGCCATTCGCCACAACATGGATGAACTTAGAGAAAATTACGTTAAGTAAGCCAGGAACAGAAAGAGAAATACTGTATGCCCTCACTCATATGTGGGAGCTAAAAAAACAAAGAAACAAACAAACAACAAATACAGTAATACTCCAAACATTCAAAAGAATAGAATAGAACTGTGGTTATTACAGGGAGGAAAGGGGGAGGGGAAAGGGGGTTAATGGACACAGAATGAGTATGTTTTGTAAGACAAATATGCCAACTATCCTGACTTGATCATCACATACTGTACACAAATATGGAGTCAACTATGTACCCCATTTATATGTATAATCAATTATCTTTCAATAAAATACACATATAAAAAAAGAAAATATATCAGAAAATTTTTTAAATGGCCATTATAATGGTCAATATTCTCAAGAAGTTTTAGAGGAAGCAAGTTTCTCTTTTCACTTTTGAAAGTCACAAGTAAGTGAGTGATCATCTACAGAAGCAGATCCTATTGTCCTAGACCATAAAGAACAGGATAAAAAATGTGCTGCTATGCTCCAGCAGAACACACAAAACATATCTTCCCTCCCAGTTTTATGGAAAAGCTCTTCTAATTCCTGTAACTCTAGAAGCTTGCTAGCAAATTCTAAACCCATATGGTCTGTACTAAAAATATATAATAAAAGTATCATTACACACTTCTTATATGCAGGAGTGGAGAAAATGAGACTCAGTACTGTGCAGTGATTATGTACGGACTGTCAGATGGATCTGGGTTTCGATCCTGGATTTACTAACTAGATGTAGGACCTATGAAATGTAATACCTAACCTACAGGGTTGTTGAGAGGTTCAAAGAGAACCAAACAAAAGTTAACACATAGTATATATGCAATAAAAACTAAGTCCTATTTTTTTTCAATTAAAAATGAAAATGGAGAATTACATGTTTCCAAAGGAACACTAAGGGCGGCAGCAATGCATGAGAAACTTTAGGATGCAAAGTTTCTCACCCTTGAATTATTAAAATTTGGGTCCTGACAACTTCTTTGTTGTGGGGACTATCTTTTGTGTTATAAGACGCAGCACCTAGGTATCCTTGCCTCCTACATATCACTGGAACTCACACCCCTCATCGTGAGAATCAAAACATCTTCAGACATCACCAAACGTCCAGGAAGGGGAGGGATAACTGCCCTGAGTTGAGAATCACTGATTTATTGTAGGGAATGGTTTCAATGGCTTGTCTCTGTAGTCAACAGTCAACAATTTCTTTAAGATTAAGATTAGCAATGAGGCTTGAAAAAGTGAGATGGACCAACTGAATACAAGAGGAGAGAAAAAAACAAAAATAATCTGTTTTCTCTAAGTCTTCTTCCACAATAATGATAGTGTATTTATACTGCAAAGAACACAAGCTTTGGAGTAAGAAAGACCTAAGATGATTTCACCATGTCTTTAAACAAGTTATTTAGCCACAAGTTTATAAAATGGGAATATTTCTAAACTTCAAAGATTTTTATGAGAATTATATGACACAGTATATGTAAAGTACCTAGTGCATACTGTATCACTTATTTTTTAAAAAACCTGAACAAATATTTTATAGTGTTAACATTTATTACCATTTTGTGTATACCCCAAGGAATGGAAATCATCATGTCAAAGGGATACCTGCACTCCCATGTTTATTGCAGCTCTACCTAGAACAGCTAAAAGTTGGAACCAACCTAAATGTCCATCGACAGACAACTGGATAAGGAAAATGTGCTTATATATATATA